GGACGGCGGCGACTTCCTCACGCGCCACGAGGCCGACCTGACGCGCGGCGAGCACGTGCCCGTCCACTGGATGGACGAGGAGTGGGACGAGTCCGGCCGGCGACGGCTGACGTTCGATGCGGACAGTGGCGAGTGCTGCTGACGGCTCCGCCCGCCGCCGTGACCGGCCGGGGACCGCGCTGTGGTGCTGTGAGGGTGCGTGTGGGGCTGCGAGTGTGTGGCGTCGCTGGTGTTGCTTGGTGCCCTGCGCAGCGAGCGCTTGGTGCTCTCGGGCCGCGAATGGCACCACGTGAAGGCACCAAACGCGTCGAGGGCACGTTCGACGCGGTGGCGAGTTTCGCGGCGACGTTCGTAGCGGCGCACTGGCGGCCCTTGGAATGCTCTGCTCGATGCCATGTGTAATGCTGCTGTGTAGTATGACGTCGGGCGTCACGTCTAAGGAGATCTCTTCTCCTGAGCTTGATGCTGACACATGGCCTTGCTCGGGGCGCATGGCTGACGACGTGTTGCGCGGTTTGTTGTCGTTTTTCCGCCGAATTTTGATCGTCGAATAAGTGCTGTGTTCTTACATAGCCGGCGCGCGTAAACTGTTGCTGCGTCGGCGTCGCGTTTTGAGCCGCAAATGTGGCGGGAAAGGGGGGGTGCTCACGTGTTCTGCCTGTGCTCTGCGTGTTCTGCCTGCGTCCGCTTCGGCGCCTTCCCGTGCCGCGGCGTAGCAGTGATCTCTCACCAGGATACTCCGGGGCGACAACGGCAAGTGTCCCCGCCCGCCCTGGTCAGTCCCGCCCGGACCCGTCCGGAGACCATTAGCCCGGGTGGCGACGACGGCAAGTGTCCCCGCCCGCCCTGGTCAGTCCTGCCCGGACCCGTCCTGAGACCATTAGCCCGCCGGCGGCGACGACGGCAAGTATCCCCGCCCGCCCTGGTCAGTCCCGCCCGGACCCGTCCGGAGACCATTAGCCCGCCGGCGGCGACGACGGCAAGTGTCCCCGCCCGCCCTGGTCAGTCCCGCCCGGACCCGTCCGGCGACCATTGGCCCGCCGGTGGCGACTGCGGCAAGTTCCCGCCCCCCCCCCCCCCCTGGTCAGTCTCGCCCGGGCCCGTCCGGAGACCATTAGCCCGCCGGTGGCGACTGCGGCGGCCAGTTTGCCCGAGTGATTCGGATGGTGATGACCTGTGTGGGCCCTCTGTTGGAGGTTGGGCGGAGGCGGCTCGTCGGCAGGTGACGGGGCTGTCCGCCACTGCCGTTGTGGCCCGCCTCCGCTGGATATGCTCCCGCTCAAGTGCCGTTAGCCTTGTGGAGCGGTGTTCTGCGAGGGATGTGGTGTGGCGAGCAGCCACCCCTGCCCTTGCAGACTATGATGATGCCGTCTGTGACAGCAAAGTGCGACCCTTGTCCTGTAGTGACAGTCAACAAAAGAAATGGTTTGGGGGTCATGCATCGCGTCTGGCGTATTGACATGGGGGAGAATGCTGTCAAATGTTTGTGCCCTAAATCGACTGAAGCGAACGCTTCCTCTTGATCGTGCCCGAAGTGAGCCTTTTGAAGGCATTTTGTTGCCCCCTGCCAAGCTGCATTCTCCACTCATGCATGTCAGCAGATGTACAACCCGGGAGCCTGTAGTCCTAATCAAATATTTTTCACGTGGGGGATTTGGGCTCCTCTGTTGTAGATGGTGTTCTACCAAAGCGAGTGAGTAAATTTAGCTTCGCAATCATATCCAGCGGGCGGAAGCCTTTGCAGAAAATCGGAAGGGCGCATTGGCCTGCGTCCGGCGAACGCGTCTTGCGCATGTTGCTCATTGGTTAAGGTCATGCCACGGATGTGTTTGACGTTCAGAACGACCGGTAATCCCTGGGTACTGGCTGGCGGCAAACCGTATGTTTATGCAAAGAAAATACATGATTAACCAGCCCCGTCAACTCATTAAACTTCATAGGCAGCGAGGTTTATCGAAGTATCACGAAATGCCAAATGACGTCGATACAGTGGCAGGAACACACGAATGAGGCAAACAGAAGGGCACGTCGTTCCAAAACGCAAGCGATGGCCGCGTACGAATATATAGAGATCACGGTCCTGGCTATAATTCTGTCTGCGGACTGCGGCGAAAACGCTGAGCTTCGGAACGGTGCGTTAGTTTGGGGGGTCCTCCTATCCAGGATGTGTGTGGGCGTTACGCGTTGTTAATTCCATGTAGAGCTCCCGAATTCATGTATTGGCAAGGACATTAGCCGCACATAACCTACACACGTGGCGCCACTATTGTGGGCACAGCTGTTCGCACCCGCCCTGGTGCGCCCACCAACAATCCGGAACATTTTCAAACTGTCAGGTCAAACTGGTTCCATGCGACTCATGAACCGCCGGTTCGAACTTGCCTGCGGGTCAGAGGCCCGGATGCCACGCTTTCCTCTGTTACCAGCAGAAGCATGGACATTCCATTGATTGGACACCGTATGCGAGCACCATACGCCGTGCGACAGTTTGTTATACTCTTCATCCCGTTCGTTAACAGTTTGTTAACACCATGCCGCAACTTTTCCAGCTGATCAACTAAAATGAAATTGGTGGACAAAATTGAAAGATACGCTTTTTGCAGACGTCAAGCAAACCAACGCTACCTGTAATTGCACCAATTATTAGCAATCAGTGCCGCACTTTGGAATCTGCTATACAAATAACGCATGGAATACGCCACGGTATGAACACAGGTGCTGCAACGCCATCCGTGTACACGCGTCCGGACCGTCGCGTTTGAACCCCGACGCACGCAACGATCGACGGCGAACCAACTCGTGGTGGTGCGAACACCACTTCCGCAAGCACGGTATCACAGTCAGTCTCTTCGAACATGGCCGCCCGAGGAATACCGTGCTTTTGCACTCAAGGGGACATGCCAGAACTGCAACACGACATCTGGGAGGTCCCGTGTGAAGGGCAGACAGCACAACCCAACGCAACGGTCAACATACAGTGGCACACGGATGTAGGCCCAAGCCGTCCCAACACGGGAACGGTCGTGCGAGGGAACCACGCGAGACGGGGAGCATCCAATGGTTCGGCACAAGGAGAGGGAGATTCACGGGGTCCCGTGATGTTCACAGGTTGGATGCCGGCAGCCGCCGGGCGGCACCACAACCAGGGTCACCAGAGCTCACATGGTGCTGCATGGACAGCGCCGCCATGCTTCACATGATTGTCAGACGGTGCTCGGCCCCGCCGTGAAGTGTTTATTCTAGTCTGGAAATTGTTGCCCCATTCCGCTATGCCTGCCCATGCTGTGATGACCTTTTGGGATGGGGCATACTACGGCAGTGCCTACTCCATTGATTTGACAAAGCAGGCCGGAATTTTAGCCGTCCCGAATGCCCCAATGGAAATGGCAACTATTTTTTTAGGATTTCACCCTAGAAGTAATGATTGTCTGTGTTCTCTTGCCAGTTGTGCATCGCGCTTTAGGATCTAACTAAAGTGATTCCAATGTAGTAGCTAACGAAAGGAATATGAAGCCAGAGCGCAATGCAACATACGGATTTGCCCGTATCCAAACGTGTTACCATTTGTTTTCTGTTCACGAGCTGTCACCCGTTAGCTGAAGCATTGCGAGTCGCCCACAGCATTTATAAGTGCATTCAAAGGCGGCCGGTCTTAGAGGGAGCCCCTACGACGTGATTTTCCCATTGTTACATTGCGGGTAAATGGGATCACCGTGAAAGATTTGCTTACTTAGGCAAGCCCCACATCACACACTCGGCCGTTTTCGCACACTTCTATATTTGCCCGTGTAATCCGGTAGCGGTCTGGCCGAGCACTCCGAACATCGACCAAACTCCGAATTTGTCCGAGCAAAGAGCAGTGACGAATTCTCCACACTTCTACACACGCGCCACCCTTGCTGCTCGTCCGCAGCTCACAGATGCAGCGGAAACACGTCCTCGCACCCGAATAACACAAGGACAGGTCCTCCACCTATCGGCGACCCCCGCAAGTTATGTTTGCAGCGTTTTCCGCCGCAGTCCAAGCGCGGCGGCCGGCGTCTGCTGGGTGAAGGGCCGCCGCATCTGGTCGACACGAGAGCCGGCCCCGGCCGACGGCGTCATGGCCGATGGGCGAGTTCGGGTTGTTTGTTCAGAAGCCGCACCTCACTCTCCCCGGAACTCATCGGCCTGGAAAATACGGGTGGGCAGCTGCACTCCAAGCGTGTTTTAAAGCTTCGCGGGGGTGAGAAATGGAGTCTAGCAGGTAGTAGTGGATCAAGTTCTCCTGACTCAGTAGTGGTCGTGTTTTACTCATTGGTGATCAGACTCCCCTGGTGGCGGTGCTACAACCGAAGAGGGTGGCACGACTGTATCTGGCGACAGTGTTGTTTCAGAGTAAACTAACACGCCTCCTACGCCTCCTCACCTGATGAAGATATTGCTCCAGGCACGAGTAACACACCTGATCACTTGAGGGCGGTGTCGTGTAAAGATAGTGTTACAGGCCCTCACCTGCAATGATCTCGCGGCGGGACGCACCACACTGTGTGTTCACGTGCTGACCAAAGATAGTGTTACAAGGCCTCACCTAGCAATGATCTCGCGGCGGGACGCACCACACTGCGTGTTCACGTGCCTGACCAAAGATAGTGTACAAGGCCTCACCTGGCAATGATCTCGCGGCGGGACGCAACCACACTGCGTGTTCACGTGCTGGCCGCGTTGCGCTAAACACGCACAACACGACCCGCCTCACATGATGGCCGTCCTCCAACGAGAGGTCTTGCGTCCTGCGCAAGGCTACTCGGTGGAGTAGGACGGACTTCCATCCATCCTCAACCTGATGACGGTCCTGCGCAGAGCAGGACCCACCGCCAGTGCTCACCTGATACAGTGTTACGCTCTTTCTGGACCAGCTCGCGGTCTGAAGTGAAGAGCACGGTGTGGTAGGGGCACGGCCTGAGCCCACGAGGCGGCCCGTGCTCGCGATCTGCCCCAGCACGCCGTTGTACACCAGCAGGTCATCCACCAGCAGCTGCGGTGCGGACAATGGTAGCAGGTTAAAGGTGGCCGAGGTGCCACCCAGCTAGTGCCATCGGTGGATGATGAATGATGATAAATGGGGATGAATAATGAGGAAAGACGATGATGAAACGTGGTCAATGATGATAGCTGATGATGAATGATGATTTATGACGATGGATGACGATGAATAGTGATCAATGAGATGGATGACGATGAATAGTGGCCAATGATGATAGATGATGATGAATGATCACCTATGATTATGGGTGATGATGGAAGGCGGGGGCTCAGGTGCGGTGTTTCAGTGGCTCAGTGGGCTCGGCGGTTTGCGAGGATGCTATTTGTAGCATTGCATAAGGCTTAAGACACCTGGAAGACGCATGCCGGCAAATAAAGATTCGCTAAACGATAACGATGAGAGCGTTAAGGGCGGCTTACATGTCACGAACCCGTTTGCAGGCCATTATGCTACCTTTTACAGTCCAAGCGTAGTAGCATTTGCGGTGTCTGAACAACCCACTCGAGGATATCATTAAAGATGAAGGGAATGTTCAAATATGAAGTGTTCTTCATCGCCAAAAATTCGACTTAGGCTTCCATGCGGCGCATGGTGAAAGCATAAGTCCAGGTCAGCGACATTCTTAGCAGACTTACCCCAAACTCCTTGACACCTCTGGTGGGAGTCTTGGCGTAGTTCCCAATCTTAATCATCGAAAACCGTCTGGATCTCGTCGAATATCACATAGACTCGATTGATCTAAAAGCAAAGCAGACATTCATGCATTGTCGATAAAAAGCTTTTGCCGAATATCTGCAACTGGTTTACACACTTCTTGACGGTTGCACGTGGTAAAAGAATGTCTAAACCTTACAGCAATATTTTCTACTCTCATTCAACAGCCAGCAAATATTTGCGGCAAGCGGTTTTGTACCATACGCTTTAGACTATGTGGTTCTGTGTTCTCTCCGGATCGTCACCACGGCGTATCACAAACATTATTCCGAAATCATAGCAGGCAAAATAATTTCAAATACAGACGTCACTCATTCACAATATCAGCTATTATAGACTCAACCACATACACCATCCGCTCACCATGTCCAACATGATGGACTTGGCCACGTGTCCGTCCTCTCACCACGTTAGGCGGGACATACCCAGCCGCATCGCAGACTTCTCACCGCGTCACGCAGAATTGACTCAGCAACATGACCGTCCCTTCACCACGTTGGGCAGAATGGACTCAACCACGCGATCCACGCTCTCACCATACACAACATGGTAGGCACAGCCACATACCGCCCTTACATTACGTCAGGCAAGATGAACTCGGCCACATGATCTCACCATGCCGGCGAAGATGGGACTCGGCCTCATGACCTCACCATGTCGGCCAAGATGGACGCGGTCACTGATCTCCCCATGTCCGGTAATGGAGACTCGGTCACAGGATCTCACCATGTCGGGCAGAATGGGCGCCAGCCACATGTGGCGGCCGTCCATGGTGTTGTTGACGCCGTCCACCAGCTTATCAGGCGTGCGCACGTCCCCGGAGACATTGTCCAGCACGTTCACGCTGTCTGGGTACGCCGCCACGGTCTGCCGGCCAGGTCAAGGGTGAGGCGGACCCGGGGTCACGTGGTCCACGGCAGGGGAAGGGGCGGGAAGTTGAATTCGATGCCTGAGCAATTTGTCACTGGATTATGATTGCGGAATGTGCGTTGTGTAGCTAGAGGACTGACGGCGGTGAAATCAAGTTCATTGAAACCTATGCGTATCTCATTTGCTTTCAACTACATCACAATGAACCCCCTCATTGCTATTGGCTAGGAGTGTATTGTACAATGAACAATGAATACCAATCAGAGCATCAAATTTCAACGCAGGTACCGTACGCAAACCTTCAGGTGTTGCATCGTCTTTGGAAACCCAACCCCACTTTAACTTTGCATATTCCAGCTCTTTTTCATTATCACGAGAATGGTCTCGAAAAAGTTGCTAACATTTTGAACATGTATGTGACTGCTCTAGTGAATTTCGTTTTTTAGGCAACGAATCAAACAAATTTGTCGAATACTATCTCAAGGCAAACGCCGTTGTTTACATCTGGATAACCTTGTTGATGACATCTCGGAAAGCACCGGCCGCCTGTTGGCTTGACCTTAACATGATCCAGCGCCAGACATCAGCCACTTCAGGACACAAAGCCGGAGCCGAGCGCTCGGTTTCAGGCCTCAGGTCAATCCAGGTCAGGTCAGGTCTCAGGTCCGGCGCGGCACCCACTCCTGCCAGTGAGCGGGATCTTGTGCCCGGAGGCGTCGTAGAGCTCGATGCCGTTCAGAGGCCGGTGTAGTAGAGGTCTCCCCAGGTGGACAGCAGGTGGAACTGGAACACGAACCCCTGCGGCATCATCGGCGCCTCGTACTCGTCCTGAAACCAGACGGAGGCGACGGTCACTCGGCCGACTCGGCCAAGCGCATTGCGCAGATCGGGCGCCTCGTGCTCGTCCTGAAAACCAGGCGGAGGCGGCGGTTACTCGGGCTGACTCGGTCAGAGCGCATGCGCAGGTCGGCACCTCGTACTCGTCCTGAAATCAGACGGAGACGACGGTTACTCGGGCGGGCTCGGTCAGGGGCGTGAGTGGAGCGGACGGGTCATTCGCCATACAACACGTCCTTTGCAATGAAAGGATTGTAACAGCGGCGGTCTTTGAGGAACACCGCGCGGCGATCTACGGCCGGCGCGGCCGGCGGGCGGCCATCGACGATGCTAAGAACAAGCGCGGCAGGCCGACATTGTTGTATTAACGGGGGCAATACATCATCAATAAACCCATAACGCTATTCACCATTGTACTCAGAATTGAGCAAGGAACACGCCCGTCCAGGTGTGGTATCGCTACAAGTCACGGTAACGTATGTATAAGGTTGTAAAGCTAAAAAGTGCGATTTTCGGAAGTTGTTAGGTGCATTTCCCGGGAACATTATGCGTATAGATAAGACAGTAGTTATAGCCTTGTTCTTCGTAGAAAAACCAGGCGAATGGAGAGACAGATGCGTTGGTATTTCGTCAGCTTGCCTTCGACCCTTGGCCTGGCATAAGGGAGTCAAATTTTTTACCCAGCAGCATAAAATTTACATCGATGGCCAGGTTTCGTTGAGACAAAAACAACGTTTTTGGTAAGTCCTGTATTTCCTGGTTTAGAAACGGCAGGGGGAATCAACTCCCTATCAGTCCGCGCCATGAAAAAACGGCGAAACAGGGCGAGTGTTAAGGTAACTACCGGATATTTTGTCAACATTTTAGACGCACCCGTACCGTAGCCGTAATTCCGCCCCCCCCCAAAAAAAAAAATCCAAAATTTATCCGCAGCCCAGTCCGTTTCCAGTCACATGTGTACCAATGCGCTCGCCCAGCCCGTGAAGTCCTCCAGCCCGCACCCGGCCACACCTGGTACACGCTGTCGCTGATGCGCACGTGCGTGCGTCCGTTGCCGGACTTTTCATGGCGGCGGGCGGCGGCGACCGGACCGCCCCTTCGCAGGCTGACCTCCTGGCAGAAGTCGTAGTGGGTGGTGCCGGGCGCCCGGCGCAGCACGAACCCCTCGGCCGGCGAAACCCGCTTGTTGTCCACCGAGACGATGCAGTTGCGCGCCTGGGGAGGTGTCGGGGATAGGAGTGTGCTCTGTCCACAGTGGACAGCTGGGCATTGCGTATCGGGGCTCTACAGAGTTATCACCGCCTGCTGCCGCCTGCCGTTTGGTGCATGCTGTGCCGCAGCGCATGGCACAGGATAGTCGATACTGTCCGGTCCAACCACGGCCGAGCAAAACGCGAGCGAAGGCTGCTGCCATTTGCTGGTCAAAACATACGTTAGATGCACCGAACAGCTCGTCATTTGTGTGGGGGTTGGGTCTGGTTGAAAAGTGGTTACAGAAAAAGCAAGTGATTCGGTATACTCCTTCTGTTGTTGTCCTACCATATGACGTAAGAGGATTCTGACCTTTGTACCACACATGATGGGGGCTTTCCCCATGTTGGGTTATGCCCACGTTCATGCCCACGCCCACGCCCACGCCCACACCCACGCACACGCCCACGTACACGCGCACGCACACACGCACGCACACACGCACATGCACATATAGACATACATGTATATATGTGTATATGCATATATAAACATCTATAAACATATACATATACATATACACATACACACACATGCGTATATGCTCCTGTATGTAAAGGATGCCCCGTGGTTTCCGTCGGATCATGTCAAGCTCCTCCAGTACGAGCACGGTTCCAGGGAGCTGCTCCTCACCCCCTTGTAGGCGTCGTCCTGCGAGGCGTTGTAGTTCCACACCCGCAGCGCAGCGATGGCGGTGGTGGCCGGCAGGCGGAGGATCAGCGTCACCGACTGACCCTCCTTCCAGGGCACCAGCCACATGTGCTCCGGGTCACAGCTGACGCGCTGCTCGTCCAGCAGTCTGCGCGGGGTCACCACTCGCGTGAGCACGAGGAGACGACGACGGACGGTGGAGATAAGACAAAGATACACGTCATTTTGAAAAGCCGGCCGTCTTGTGCAAGCATGCACGCGGTTCGACGCAGGGGCTTGCTCGCATGGTGATCCCGGAAGCATGTGTCACCACTAGCAAATTGGTGACGGTACTAATACTTCCGCGAATAAATGATGACGTTAGAAAATCAGGGTAAATACGTAAGAAATGTAGATGGAGAAGACGCATGTTGCACGTCATGCAGTACATTTCGCGCGACTGCGGCGCGCCCAGCTGGATTTCGGCAAAAAAAAACAAGTTTGGGTTCTGCCCCATCCATTGCGAAATCATGCACATCCCTGGGTCACACCATTACCAATGGGCCTTCACTATCGCTGCAAATTCAATAGGCATAGCACATATGAAAAAAACAAGCATATTAGTAACGATACAAAGCAAAGAGCGCTGAGGCAATTTGACTTAAACTGGGAACCTGACGTGTGGATTTGCCTTTCTCTGCTCTTTCACATTTCATTCCACCGATTTCTTAACATATCTAACGTTTTCAAACCCGGATGTGTTAAGCATTCACGCCACTGCATTGCTTTCCATATTACCTCGGCAGTGTCGCTGTGGCTGTCGATGCCGTCAGGTAGGAGGTCTTCAGAGGCACCACCTGCTGGTTTTCCCGCACTATTTCCAGTGCCGTCAGACCTGGTGCCACGGAAAGCCAGACTCCATAAAGCACGTTTCGCCAGAGAAATGCAGCCCTGCTGTGTGTTCTGTGACAGTCTTTTCGTCTTTTCTGTTGTGACATGGTCAAACCTATCGCTGTTACTAGAATCAGGACATGTGTTTGCATTGCCGGGTCAATTGCAGTACCATGCGGAGATCGATACCTGGTTTTTATTTCTTTATTTTTGATACACAAAGTTATCAAAGAGACTGCGACAAGCGTGTCAAATATCACATGCATACACACACACACACACACACACACACACACACACACACACACACACACATATATATATATATATATATATATATATATATATATATATATATATATATATATATATATAGTAATTGAGCGTGAAACTTATCCCAGGTCGATCATGGAAACGTCACATCGAAGCCTGGTGTTTTCAAAACGGCGACGCGGTGGTCAATAAGCCGCTAACCGCTCAACCCACGCACGACACCAGCCGCGGCGACTCCCGTTTGGAATCCGACGGGCACCTCCGGCTGCCGCCGCCACTGACCGAGCTGCTGCCGGTCCCCCCAAGACGAGGTGAAGGTCAGCTGGACGATCTGGCCGCGGGGCACGGCGCCGGACGAGTCGAAGCTGACGATCTCGCCGGACGAGAGCTGGGGAACGCGGCCCGACGCCTCGCCGCCCAGCGCGTGGCCGCAGGTGAACGGCCGTCCGCCCGTCTCCTGCCGCAGGCACCCGCTCGGGTCGCGTCAGGGGCTCACCAAGGGGGGGATAGGGGGGCCAGGGGCGATGCGCAAGAGACTGATGAAGAGTCACGGACGTGATGAAATGGTCTGTCACGGAGCACTGTGCTGTGGCCTTATGGCCTGTAGCAGCGAAGACAATTATGTGGGAGATGTATGCATTTCTCTGGCAGTAGAAGTCGCATGGCAATTTCTGAAAGCTTTGGCAATAAAACGACGGTAGTAGTCGGGGGAGCGAAACAGACTAACAGGCAAGAACGCAGGGTAATATGCGACGCAAAATTAATACCTGGCTTCTCTGAGAGGCTGCAATGCGCTGTGCGGTGGATTGGACTCAGTCATAAGCATTGCATTTTCTTAGGCGTAAAAACAAGGCAATTGGGGCCATGCTTGGTGGCGATGCATGAATACAGTCAACCGTATTATCTAATGCGCAGATAAACGCATCGAGCCTGCGAATAGTAAAAAAGCATGGAACATAAGTTTTCCAGCAAACCGTAGAACCCAGCTGTAATAAGCGCACAACTGAGTGGTACAAGTGCACTTGCAAATCGCAACCCAGAGTAGTAGCTGAGCATTAAAAGGTGTTTTATTCTCCCTGACATTTAGCACGCCGTGCCAAGCAAATCAGAAACTGCTGCTTTTCCTTTCCAAACGACCAGCCATCTCCGCCATCTTGGGAGCCTCCTGCGCCACGTCCCGGTCCGACGGACCCGGCCCCTGCGGCGGGTGCGCGGGCGGGTGCAGTACCAGTGCCGGGTGCCGGGTGCCGGGTGCCGGGTGCGGCGGCTCAGGGACTGACGTCTACGTCCGCCGTCTGCGGCCGTTCCACTGGCAGCTCGGCGTGGATGGTGGCCGTCGGATCGGCGCAGTAGCCGCTGAACGACTCGTCATACTGCGAGATGTTGTCCAGAATCTCGTCGTCGGTCGTGAACAGGATCGTCTGCGGTAGGAGCCGCGGGTCATACGGGCACGACCACGGGTCACGGGTTACGCAACATGGGTCACGGTTCACGGGTCACATATTACAGGTTACGGGTCACGGGTTACAGACGGGTCACGGGTCAAGGGTCACGGGTTATCGGTCATGGGTCACGGGTCATGGGTCATGGGTCACGGTTCACGGGTCACGAGTCATCGATCATGTGCCGTAGGTCACGGGTTGCAGGTCACGGGTCACAGGTAACCGGTCATGGTTCACGGGTCGCAGGTCACGGGTCATGGTTCACGGGTCGTTGGTCATAAGTCATGAGTCACGGGTCACAGGTCACGGTCGGGATCTCCAGGTCGGTGATGATGGGCTCACCAGACGCACGCGGGCTGACTGGCGTTGAGGTCGCAGCAGTGGTGGCCCTACCGTTCGTTCAAACGAACTGAATGGGGCACGACGGCACTGCCTTTTCCTCTTCAAAATATGTTGGGTGGTTTTAACAAGACATGACACATAAATAGACACATAAATGAGACATGGACTATAATGTCTTTAACAAGATGAGGTTATGGGCGCTGAATGACCTACAGCAGTCGATGCGCCCTAAAACCCCAAATCATCATCATCATCATCATAACAAGATGAGGTTCAACAGACGTGAAACCGACAAGTATATTGGAAGTAGTCCTAAGACCCAATCGCTTGCACCAGGGTGAGCTAGCAGTCACGACAAATAAACTGTTTCCATTCTGGCGCTCTGACACTGAAACCTTCATGTACCCCTTAGAGGCCTCTATGGCTTTCTCGAGCGCGAGTCAACCTTCCTAGAATGCTCATACATAGGGTTTGTTTATCTAGGCTGTAACAGGCCTTGCATCCATTGACTCAGTGAATTACCGTCGTGTTGCTCACTAAAAGTGTCGTACATGTTAGTTATAGCTCCTGGTTGGGTTGCACTGTGCTGGGGAGATATGCTGGCAAAGTGTGCAGTAAGACCCCGTAAACCTACGGCCTGCATATGTCTTTCTTAGTCGAAGATCATGCGGCTCATCCCACCACCCGGTCTCCACATCGTGTGAGGCTGGCAGCCAGCGCATGGGTCTAGCTGTTAGTCCCGGCGCGTGAGACTAGCAGCCAGCGCATGGGACTAGCTGTTAGTCCCATCGTGTGAGACTAGAAGGCAGTGCATGGGACTAGCTGCTAGTCCCATCGTATGAGACTAGCAGGCAGCGCGTGAGACTATGTGTTAGTCCCCATCGTGTGAGACAAGCAGCCAGTGCATGGGACGAGCTGTTAATGTCATCGTGTGAAACTAGCGCCCAGCGTATGGGACTAGCTGCCTGTCCTATCGTATGAGACTAGCACCCAGCGTATGGGACTAGCTGTTACGGCCATCGTGTGGGACCAGCGCCCAGATGACAAGTCTGGCGTACCAGGCGACGCGAAGTCAGGGGGCCGGGACCAGGGCCGGAGGAAAGCACGCAAGGGATGCCCCCCCCCCCCCCCCCCGAAGCCGGACCGATCGGCACGGAACGGGCCGGCGGTGGCGTGCCGGGCCTGACCCAGGATCGACCCAGGAGGAGCAGGACTGGTGGGCCGGATGGCGGAGTATCGTGGTTTCGCGTCATTAGCTGCCGATGGCCCGCGGGCAGTGGTGCCGATGTTTATGATAATGGCTAATTGCTGCGAGGGGCGCAGATTACATATCCGGTTACATCAGCGATGCATTAGGTAATGAATTATTTATCAACGTCCCAATGTGAACATATCGTTCAAAGTTTTTTTAGCAGGGAAATAAAGAAGCGCACTTGTGTCGTAAAGAATTGCACGTATCTGCGCTATTTGGTTAGTATATCAGCTGACGTGGCCATTTGCAACATGCTAGCATAGATGTCTGTTTGTACAACATGCAAAACAAAACCAAGTGATGAAGTACAATCTCAGATGAGCGCACTCATTTCACTAACAGTTTTGTGACGCTGGCGTTGGTCTATATCTGATTTTGGTGTAGTTACAAAATGCCATGGAAATCACTTTATTTGAATATGACGGTTCGCATACGCTGGTCAATAACCTCGCTTGGTTTACATTTTGGATGAGAACGGTACTGAACTTGAAGGTGTTATGTAAGATTGTTGTTCCACTTACCAGTTCGCAACATCATGCCTCTTCCGTTCCAGTGACCCAGATCAAAAGGTCAGCATGGTGACGCAATGGCCCATTTCGGCTGCATTGGTCGGCGTTCACAATGGCCTTGACTACACGATGACCTCAAAAGGCCGATCAATAACGGCCCAGGCTGAGCGCGCCCGGTGTAACCGACCTGTATCGACCTAGTCCCGGACTTTTTGCCCGCAGGCCCGGTACTGACCTTGAAATGGCGTAGAGGTCAACGGCGCGCACGCGCTGTTCGCCGAAATTATTTCTGATCGACTTTGGGCGGACTGCGGCGATCAAATAAACATGAAATATCCCTGATCGATGGCGCACGAACGACCTGTTGCGGTTGAAACGACGACCGCAGCGGATGGTGGTATTGATGTCGTCAGGGGTGGCTGCTCGCGGAAACGGCTGCCTTAGGATCGGTTTTGACAACGGTCTCGGACCCGCACCCGCTGTTAGGCGGTGCAGACAGAGGCGGTGCTGCGTGAGCTACCGCGGAAGAGCGGGCCGCTGCGTGAACTGTTGCGGTGTTGCCTTTTCCACAAGGTATTCAAACCAGAACGTGTTTTATGATCCTTCTGTCTGAATATTGCAGGCGACAATCTTGTGCATTGCGAACAGCGTCTACTTTTGTTATGGCGTGTCTCATGTAGTCGACTGCTGGATGGGAATGCAAAGCGCTATTTTTTCTTTCATCGCTTAAGAAGACTTTTTGTTTTTGTAGTAATCTGACTAGGAATGTTTTCTCATTCCGTCAAATCAATTTAAAATTTGTGACTTCCGCTAAGCTCTCAGTATAAATACATATTTGGACACCAAATCATTCATAGAAAATTAGGCAGTCGTTTTTATCACAGCTTTTCAGTGTAAAACATTCAACATGTTTCAGAAAACCCTAATAAATGTAGCGGCCTTGTGCCACTTCAATTAAAGGAATTATCAAACCTATTTTGTACCATTTACTTAATGTTGCATGAAGCGCATGCGATATGACCAGTACTACTGGTTTCTAAAATCCTTTTGAGTAGCTCAGAATTTCTATTTGAAGTAGCTGACCCTGTGGGGGAAGTCCCATTTGGCTTCCTGCTCATCATTATGAAAGTAACACATTTCATTTGCCTTCCTTTTTCAACGTGTGTTCTGTAATGTTTGGAACACACCAATGCACCAAAACGTTTGTATAATAAATGCTAAGAAAGCTTGAAACACTGTTTAGACAAAAGTGTATATTAACATGAAAGTATTATCCCGCGAATACGACGCAATGCTGTACTATGACTTTGATTTGATTCCTCCCCTATGGCGCTTACCACAGTCGCTCTTTTCGAGGCGCACTCTGGCTTTGGCCGTGGAAGTATCACATAATCCATGTGACAACCCTGGTCCACAATTCGATCAATGCTCTTCTCGGTAACAGGCCTTTGCCCGCTGGGCCAATCACACACGCTCTTTTATTCGCACCAGTAGTTGTCAGTGCGCACGGTAGTTGGCATAACGATGGTGGTAGCCACTGCAGGGAAGAAACGTGCCGTTACAAAGCATTTGCAGCGTAATTTGGAATCGAAAATAATCAAAATTGAAATTCGTTTATGTCTTGACGGCGCTGCAGTGCCACTACCCAGTGCTACTATTAGACGTCACTGATCCCAGAGCATGGTTTTGAAGTATGCCCCAAAGGTGGGACACTTCCCTTACACGGAATGTTCCACAATTGAAGATATTGAAGCAAGCATCAGACATTATGACCTATGCTCACTTATAACTGCTGGTATACTTTCAAGTGGAGGAGGCTGTTCTATACAACGCGCTTTCTCTATTTAGGAATATGCTCCTCAATACGTTGTTGTTTGATCACGTCATCGTACCTTGCACAACATTGATTGAGAGCCAATTGACGTCCGTTATATCCGGAAGTCGCGCTTCTGAACTCCAGATATGAACGGCTTGATGATGATCTTTTTCTTAGCCTTGATCGCCGCACTTCTAATGGAATGGCAGGGTTTGAATAACGTTATTATGTCGTCATGGATGTCTGGGTGACATTGAGATAGCCTCTCCGAAAAAGTCTACATATCTTCGCAGGCGTGTAGCTCAGAATCTAGAAGGGTTCAAGTCTCAAGAAGGACGAGACTGTACACTGCACCAAATGATCTTCGAAATGGCTATTTCGGTTCAAAATTCCATACAAATGTGGAACACCCCTTTGGGTCTTTACCACTTAGTTGACTTCGATTAGCCACTTCGATAGAAAATTATTGTAAAATGCATGGAATGGGACAGCCGTTTGCAGTCGTCGTCCGTAAAAGCGCTACGCAAATATACGCGCACAATTATCATCACAGCTGCAAGTTTGCATCCAGAAATGTAGGGCGATATATCACCATAATATATCAAGCAAGCACTGCTTGTTGCATGTTCTGTAGACAGAAAATGCCTGATAACAGCCTGTATGGATTTTCGACGACCTGGTTTGACTTAAGCCGACAACCCATGCTCTGACGGTCCCATGCCTGCGGTTTTCCGTGCATGCGGGAGCTCGAACAAAGCTGGAGCTACAATTATCCGTGGAATTGGCTCGCACTGTCTTGACCAACTTTGCGTCCCCAATAGGTCTGAACGGTCCGCATTGCGCTAACGCTTATGCTAATGCATATCATCAACAGGCCTAAAGGTAGCTAAGCCGTTAAGACGAGGACATGCATGCAATTGCACAGTGGTCTGCCTGGAGGTAATACGTGGTAAAGTGGTCCGCTCCGTCGACACGTGTCACACGGCTGTCTGTCCAGAGGTCACATGCGACATGTCAGTCAGTGCCGACGTGGCACATACAGCACAGCAGTCCGGCTCGACGTCGCACGTGGCACACGTGATGTCACAGCGGCACATGTGTCAGGACGGTCCGCGCCGGCATCGCGTGTGACACAGCTCTTCCGACCAGATGACTGACACGCTCACGGATCGTTAGACCGAGCCTCCTGCTCCCACCCAGCCCCGCATCTCGCCAATTCCCTGCGGTACTCGCCGGCAGTGGCTTCCCGTAATTCACGAAACGTCGCGGGTCTCCAGCGAGGTCGCCCCACCCACGCGCCGGCGGCTGGCCCTCCACCCAGCACGACCTGTCCACTGCGTCGTGGAGCCTCCCCCCCCCCCCTCGCGCGAGACCCCGGGTAAGACTCACGTCTCCAAACGCCTCCGTGCCGCCGAGAATGCCGCCGCTGGCGCGGGCGATTTCGCCGCAGAAGATCGGCTTCCCGTCCAGCGCCATCTCCACGTGCCGCGCGCCGCGGAACGAGTGGCACCGGGACTTGTTGTAGTTTCTGCGGATGTCGGCGGCGTCATCAGCATTGGACGGGCACCGCCAAGGGGTCAGGACGCTTTGCTCCCCCTTGCAGGTCTTGGAGGTCCCTGGGCACGAGGACCTTGTGCTCTCTGATACGTCAAATCCCACAGTGCCCCTTGGTAGGATTCGGACCTCCCACCGGACGAACTCTTGTGTACCCCACTTTGTCGTTGTTGATATCGTATTTGGCATTGTTTCGTCATTCTGGGGCGAAACCTTGAACAAGCCAGCGAGTCGCCATTGCTATTGTCCTCTGCACGGTTTCTGTCAGCCGATAGATGTCCATATCACTACAGTCACCGGAAACAACACCACGTGTGGGGACAAAACCGTCATAATGCCTGACATATAATAACACCCGCACAACCTATCCGACGTTATGGCAGTGCTTCCACGCTTGCGACTTCCATTGTGCAAAACGCCCACTCCTCCGTTACCCAGGTGCTTAATGGCAGCACCGGCGCAAACACGTGAGTATTTCCATAACATTGGTAGCCGCCAGACGAGGCCCGTAAAGGACCGACGGGCACTGCATGCATGGCCCCGTCTGGCAAGGCAGGTCAGCCGGATGAATTCGGAAGCATCATGGAAATGCTTCAATTTTTTTGGCTGCGCACATCTCGATTAACTATAGTATGATAAGTAATATGATTTTAATATAATTTTTAAAAATTGTAGCATAATATATATATATATATATATATATATATTCTAATGTCAATGATATAGTGAGTCTATGGATGGACAAATAGTGCCACAATCGGTAACAGGTAAATTGAGACCTGAGCACTCGTGCACATATTTTTTAGGGCAGCTGTGGTTTTTACCGAAAATGAATTATCTGAAGCTCCAAGCCCATTGAGAAAAGTCTGCGGTGTTATGAACCTCAGGCTTGAAGTACATACATCAAACCTGGACACGTAGCAAATACAGTTTCCATTGACACAGAAGTCCAGAGCCGCAACCTGCACTCACTCTGGGACTGATAACAACTTTCACAGGTTTCCAAGGCAGAAAAGTGGAGGGTTTGTTTTACACCGAATGTCCCGCATTATTCTTCACTGGGACTGTTGTTGCAACATAACTTAAAACAATTAAAAGATAATTCTATTTCATTCTACAAAGTTACGGTAATAGCTGGCTTGGTAGTAAGCATTAGCCCGCACAATTTCATGTGGACAACAAGAACATCAAAATCCTACCCGAGAGCTGATATCAACCCTTACGAGGCACTTATGGCCAAACAAGTATTTATTAACATCTCCATACATCACGAGTCCGTTGCTGCATGGCAGCATTGCCCAACACTGCGCAACAAAGCGCAGCATAACCACTAATACGCTGGAGCAACAACGCTGTCGTACTACTGATTTGCTCAGGCTGTGGGTATGCTTCTCTTAAGGCACTGCTGTTATTTTCCCGCCGACTATTCAGGACATGAAGAACCCAGAAGCACATGCATGTCTCCGTTAGCGTCGACCAGTCTACGGCTGCACGCGAGCATCAGCTTCAGATCCGCGAAACCTTTTGAGGGTAATCATCTACCCCCAGCTGGCCGCATTGATCGCTTGTTACGCTCTCGACAGGGTAGAGGGTTGACATAACCTCTCTCTCTTGTTGACGTATCTGTCGAGCCGTTTAACTGAGCGTAAAGTTTGAAATAACATCCACGTTTACCAGTTGTTTGAGTTTGGACCACGCCACAACATTGGGATGGTACTCGTAATCTCGTTCCCAAAAGTCTTCATGGCGAAGTGAGGCAAATCGTAGCGTTTCATGCAATCAATACCGCCGTCTTATCACACCAACACTTGTTATAGATTGGGGAGAGACTTTCCGCCTTCAGCATTACTCAAGTTTTGACCTTATGAAGGCATAAGGCCAAAAGCTCGAACACAATGCATCAAAAATATTTGGACAGAATGGGATTGCGCTTTCCAATTCCCCTGCAATACGTCTTCGATAAGCCGCATACCAGTACTCCGTCATATGCCTTTGCATTGCTTCGTGCAGGGGTTTATCTTCTGAATGCTTATGTAACGGATCAAGTCCTTGACTTTCATAACTTGCACCTCGTGTCGAGGACACATCCAAATTTGTCAAGATACGCAAGATAAATTAGCCCACTAGGCCAATAAAGCAGGGGCAAGGTGAAGGAAATGGACTCATTACCAGAAATTGCACTGCTATTAAACGCTAACTTTACTTTGTGCCAAGCCAAAAGATCGCTAACGCCATCTATCGGGAGGTTTAATGTCATCGTCCTGCACCAGTGCGCGGCGATGACATTCAAAAGCCAATCAAAGTAAAATCAATGACATCAACACCGCACAAAATCAAACTCCATCAACTAGAATGAGATCCACTTACGTGCTTATCGAAATGAGCGCCGCAAAACAATCCTTATGACCGTGCAGTGCATCAGCAACAATCCGAAGCCATCGATGATTTTTGATCAACCGATCGTAATAGACTATAGGTGCGAAGTAGTCGTCCAAGATTGAGGTACGGGGCGGCGTCGCAGAATAGCGAGGCATGACCTTTTAGTACTTTTAGACCTTTTAGTAACAAGCTGACCATGAGAAGTAGGCTACCATCATCGCTAGAATTTGTAATCCCGCATTGGACAAACACTTAGTTGATGTACGAATTTTTATCTTCGCTTATCGGATGACATACCAAGAAGGGTTAGAAGAGTTAGACGAATGGCTAGAAGGGTTAGAGGGGAAGCCCGGAAGTGTTAGACTTAAAACGCACCCCACGTACTGTACAGAAGGTAGCAAACCGCCTAACCTGAGGTGTAGTGACCTCGGTGTCGACTACATGAACACCGACCACCACTTCGCCACCGGCATCGCAGGCAGCCAGGATGTCAGTAGGGCCAGCCGGGATCGGCGCCACCCACATACGGCGGTGCTGACACCGGGCCTCTCAGCGACGGCGGCACGGCTGTTGTGCCTCTTTGTTTATGCTTTTCAGGTGAGAGCTATTGGCTGGCAAGTGTGTGTTCAAGGTCCAGTAGTGTAGCTGAAGGCTATGTGTGTACCTGAAGAGGACGAGACGACGAACAAAACAACACACAGAAACACAAACAACGCTGAAAAACATGGAGAACTGCTCAAAACTGTAGAAAAGAAACTAGAGACTGGTAAGAAACGCGAAACCAATAGATGAAAGGCCAACGACTCTGCAACGAGGAGACGAATAATCACTTAACCACGGGCGTAGCCCCCCGCCTAAGACTCTGACGTAAGAAGCCTGTCACCCCCAACCGGGGGCTCCTCCGAGCGCCAGGCCGCTCGCCTGCGCCTGCGCCTGAGCGCCCGCCAGGGCCACTCACCCACACGCGCAGCATAGCCAGCTGGCATGGCTGGGGGAAGCCGATGTGGACTAGGTGATCGCCCCCGGGGCTGAAGGGCGCCAGCCAGAGGTGCATGTCATCCCTGGTGCGGTACACGCCGTCCGTCAGATTGGCGACCACCCGCGGGTCGCCGCTGTACTCGTCCAGCACGTTGATGTCGGCCGGGTCGGCGCTGATCTGGAAGTGGGGGGGGGGGGGGGGAGGGGAGGGGAGCGGTGTCAGACGCGACTGGGAGGTTATTTGGTCAGTGAGCGTCGTCGAGCGCATGACACGATATAACGCATGCAGGCTTGTGATGAGGGTCGGTCTAAAATGTTGCCGTGTTTGAGGTGTGGTATGGTTCATTCAGTGCCATATTAATTTGATGATTCATTGGACGCATTGGACGAAACGATAGAAACGGTCAACCGCAATGCTGAGTTACGACCAACTTCGATATTTAAATTAAATCTTTATAGCCAGCTTGTCTGACCTTGCGTGATTTGAAGCCTTTGGGCGACATCAGCCGGTGCACTCTCGTAAAAAGCCTTGGCCGATATCAAGACAATTAATGCCAGCTGTTGACATCATGCTCTTATATGCTGTCTGCGTAATAAGATTCGCCTGCTCAATCCAACCATTGAAAGCCTGACTCGGCCACCGCCCCAATTGGCGACCCCATTCCCGCTGCAAACTCGCTCAGAGCTTTGTCCGATTCGATGGCACTACCAGAACGACCGCGCGACCTTGAGCCCACCTTCTCCGCCTTGATAGGCTCCCCAGAGGCGGAGAACATCTCGATCCCGTTAAGCCCCACGTAGTGGCGGTCTCCCCACGTGCTCTTGATGTTGATGGTCAGGTTCTTCCCCTTCGGCAGCTCGGGGATGAAGAAGTCCTCCTCTTCAGCGCTGGCCTCTGAGTGCTCGTCCACTTGCGGTAGCGTTGCCAGTTTTGCGCCCGAAAATCTGGCGAAAGGTTGTTCACGATGTATTACTTTGGCATCATGCAATGATATGAACAAATTCACAACACATTACACGGGTTTAGGTGCCTATTCGGTTGAGGGCCGACCCCCCCCCCCCCCTTTCACACCCCAGCTTGGGATTCAGGCTCCCTCAACCTTGGAAAGGAAGTGGGCAAAATCCACAGACAACCTGTTTGTTGACATATTTGGGGCAACTTGTGTCATGTTTGCGCCCCAGTCCCCAGCCTTTCACTCCCAGTCAGTCCCACCTCAGTCCTCCAGCCGCTCACTCCCAGTCAGCCCCACCTTAGTCCCCAGCCGCTCGCTCCCAGTCAGTCCCACCTCAGTCCTCCAGCCTTTCGCTCCCAATCAGTCCCACCTCAGTCCCCAGCCGCTCGCTCCCAGTCAGTCCCACCTCAGTCCCCAGCCGCTCGCTTCCAGTCAGTCCCACCTCGGTCCCCAGCCGCTCGCTCCCAGTCAGTCCCACCTCAGTCCTTCAGCCGCTCGCTCCCAGTCAGTCCCATCTCAGTCCTCAAGCCTTTCGCTCCCAGTCAGTCCCACCCCAGTCCCCCAGCCGCTCGCTCCCGCTCAGTCGCGGTGGCCAGCCGTTGCTCACCTGTCCTTGGTCGGCATGTACATGTGCATGACGTCCGCCGTGTCCAGCTGGACGCTGCTGATGCGGCCTCGCTGCTGACGATTGAAGGCCTGCAGGTGGCCCCAAGACTCCTCCAGCGAGGTCAGCCGGCCGGCGCCGCCCGTCAGCCCTGCCGGACGGACGCAGCAGGTCATCGGTGGCGTTGCCGCCTGGTCTGGGGGCGGCCGCAGGTCACCAGCACCGGCCTCCGGTCCGAGGGACAACCGCAGGTCACCAGCGTCGGCCTCCGGTCCAGAGCAACCGCAGGTCACCAGCACCGGTCTCCGGTCCAGAGGCAACCGCAGGTCATCAGCGCCGGCCCCCGGTCCAGGGGTGGCTGCAGGTCAACAGCACCGGCCTCCGGTACGGTTCGGTTCAAAAGCTCATAGACCCAGACTAAATATCGGATCCGCTTGGATCCGGATTTTTGTGTGACCCGGAATGTTGGCGACTCAGGTCACGTTCCCCTACCCTCCCGACGTCGGAGTCGATGAATGGTGTCATTATCATCCTTCCTGGATGGCTGCCCTGAACAACATTACCCATCAGCCCTGGAACAACGTTGGCAGCGGCGTTAACCCTCAGCAGGTCGTAAGTCACACGTAGTGATACACCCGCTAAATGCGGTCCCAAGACCTTCAATATTGCAGCTTCCGATAGTGCAGACATCATTCACATCGATTATGTGAACTGCCACGCCTTCCAAACGTGCCTGTCAGAAGCCAAGCCAGCGGCAGACCGAGGTCGTTAGTGAGCTTCATCACTCCGGTTCGGGTCTTACCGGGGCTGGAGGCCATGGGCGAGATGGGAGGCTGCGACGGCAACGTGTCCAGCCAGTCCTCCGGTATCACCTTCGGCGAGTTGAGTCGGCCGCTGGACGAGTCTGCCGGACGGCGGCAGCGTTAGCCAGCGCGCAAGGGTTTGTCCGTGAAGGTGGTTGACAAACAGAGTGTGGAGTGGTTGGATGACAAGCAATTGGCAGAGGAGCTGTGGTGTCTTGTGGCAGATGAAGGAAGATTGCGTCGCCTAACACCACGACACATGAGTTTCCCATCGCCAGTGCAAGGATTTTGTTACGCTTGCACGCTGCTAATATATTTAACCATTATTTCAGTCAGCAAATTGTTTCTTTGGATCGGCAGGAGCCGCAGGGATTTATGGCTCTAAAACTCCTGTTCATAACTGCCTGGGCTGTCAAGCTGACGCTAAGAAATATGACCCGTTTATTTGCTCGTTGCAAAGCACCCGACAGGCTACCATCCGCACTTCCCGCCGCTGTTTTGGGTCACGTCACGTCATTAACGCCAAGCCTGTCTCCGGCGGAGCGCTTCGCTGGAACCTGCGGCGCATCCGTGACTTGTGCCGTGTCCGAGGCCTTCGTGACGCCGGCTCTGGACCCGCCCAGGCGCCCGGCGCAAGCCCGCGGGCACCAGCACATCGATACGCTGCCCGGCGCGGTGCACAGTGGGCCAGGCCCACAGGGCGGGACCCAAGGCGCCCGGCGCACAGCGGGACCGGCTCGGCGGCTTGTGAGGCTTTCGGTGAACCGCGGGGGCTCGGCTACCCAACTAGTGAGCAAAGCGAACACATTGATCTGCATAAAACCAAGTGCCTCGCCTTGCTCTTTGGGTAATGAACAGGAGACAATTCTATCGTCATGCTTATGCAACATAATTTCACAGAATGTGGCATAAACGTGTGACAGCTTCTCACGACAATTAATCATCCTCGTGAGTGTCCACATGACAAACGTCTTCTGATTCTTTTCCTACGAAATAGTGTTGACCAAAGACACATAAATAATCAGCACTGACACACTCGCAAACATAAAACCAGTTGATGTTGTCCCGAGTCGTAAAAAGATAGATTAACCCACGGTCAGATCTGACGATTACAGACCTGTCTGGTACAGACCTGTCGGGTACAGACCTGACGAGTACCAAACTGACGAGTACAAACGTGACGAGAACAGACCTGACGGATGCAGACCTGGCAAGTACAGACCTGACGAGCACAGACTTGACAGGTGTACGACTGACGGGCACATACTTGACGAGTACATGCCTGGCGAGAACATACCAGACGACTACAGGCCTGACAAGTACAGACCTGACGGGTACAGACCTGGCGAATACAGACCTGACGAGCGCATGCCTAATGGTTACAGACCTGAGTACAACATACCTGACGAGTGCAGACCTGAGGCGTACAAATCATACAGACCTGACGAGTACAGACCTGAGGAGTACACATCATGCAAACCTGACGAGTACAGGCCTGAGGAGTACAAGTCAAACAGACCTGACGAGTACAGACCTGAGGGGCACAAACCATACAGACCTGACGAGGCGGTGCCCGTGTTGCGGGAGCTGTCCGGGGTCTTCGGCGTTCCGAGCGCGCGCCGTCCGAACCTGGCGGAGCCCTCCCGCCGCGGCCGGTCCGCCTCTAAGCCCTCGTCTCCTCTGGAACAACATCAACTTGGGGACTGGAGAGCTATCGGAGTCGCGTGCTTTCATGTGAACGGGGTTTGAAGATTTGCGACTGGTGTGTTATGTAATGTGGACAAATTTACACCCAATGCCTTCCAGTGTCGGACAGCAGGGCGGGTGTTTAAGTAGGGCTACACGAGTTGGCAGCCAAAGACCGCACCGGGCACGCCAACACTAAGCCGATCGCTTGGACTCGTCTGAATCCACCTGCAATCGATCCTTGCCGTCATTTATGAGTTACATGGCCGTTTGTAGTGAGTTTCCACCTGTTACTTCCGAAAACCCTCAAAACGCGTGAAAGGCTCGCACACACAACGGAGGCGACGTTATGGCGGAACTTTGCGCTTGCAAGGCGTCATTAACATATGCTCAAGACTTCCAAAAGCGATATCTCTTTTATGGCTTAATCTGGTTTTCCCAACCAGTTTTGCGAATGGCCGCAGCTGACCTGCGCGTCACATGCCCAGGCCATTTCTGCCCGGCATGCCTCCCGTCCTGTCTGACGTCAGCAATTCGCCGCGCGATGAACGAATTGCGCTCTGAATGGGTACAGCCTGAAATGCGACACGCGCTTCTGTGCGCCGTCCAAGGCGGCTCGGGGAAGCTCGCGCCATGACCACCCAAAGAACGACGGGAGCGGGGCGCGCTGTGGGCGCCGCCTGCCATTTACGGTTGGCACCATGCCAACCGCCGCACCAACACGACACTTCACCATGTCACGGCAGCATTAGCGGGCTACTCACGGACCTGGCGCCGTGACTGACCGCTGGGACCGGCCTTGTTCGGCAGACGTGTATGAGGTCTACTTCTGCATCCAGGTGTGGTGACGGATGCCTAGTCCGCTGGTTTTAACAGCGCACGTAAGGCGGAGTTATGAGCGTAACTCACAGCCTGGCTTCCTCCTTTTCACACCGCGAGCTCCATACAATGACCCTTGAACGCCCGTAACCCAAAGAGATTTATGCTTCAGAAACCAGGCCTCCTTGTTTCTCCTCCTCTGTTCTCCCTCCCACGGTCGCCTGTGACTTCATGGGCTGCCTCGTTGACCTGTGCTTACCTTCCCCCTCCCTCGCTCCAGCCTGCCTACCCTTTACTAGCCGAGCCGTTATCAGGTCCGAGCCAGCCGCCGCGGCGGCCGTGCGGCCAGTGCCGTCACCACAGCGGAGGATCGATTCTGTCCTTAATTACAGGGCCATCGCGGCCGCTCAGCTAATCAATGGACACTAAGTCCGGATGCGCCAGCGGCGGCGCGGCACTTGGGACCGTACAATCCGCAATTGGGACGCCGCGTTAAAACACCCAGCATGATGCCGTTGTGCAGCCTGTTCCGCGATTCCTGAAGGGGTCGCAATATCTAGCCTCGTTGAGCGAATGGAGCAGGGCTGGCATGACCTGAGCAGGTGTCCCGGTCGTAACGTACAGTTGGTGCGCCGGCGGCACCCATCGGGGGCAGTGGGCTACCGGGCGCCGACGGCCCACGACCGGCCAAATGGCGCGCACGTTACAGGAACAAGGGCACGGAAGTGAGGTCAAGGCACATCGATTGAACGGGCGCTGTGATATGGATCTTGACCTGTGCTCTGCTGAAGTAAAGAGGGGATGTCAGAGGGAAAGGAAAGAGTTAAATGGAACGGCTAGGCCTACGGAAGCAGTGTTCGTATTTAACTTCTTTTCAAGCGGGCAGAATATCCTTATTACGAAAAGCAGCTGGTGTCACAAAAAGCAGCTGGTGAAAAGTAGTTAGCGCCACAAGGAGTACCCAGCTTCCAGAATGATGACGCTTTTGAGCGTTGTTTTTGTCTCCAATGCTATGGACTAAAACGCTTTAATAATTAAGTGCAGTCTGATGATGCCAGCTCGCCACCTCGTCCGTAGTAAGGCCAATGCATGGCATAAGTTTGCCACGTAAAAAAGAAAACCCCTGGGAAGAATATAAGTACCATATTGGTAAGAAGGATGTTTCGCTATGCCGTAGATGCTTAACTAAAAACGTTTTAATGGCCTCAACCTCTTTAAGAGATAGACAGCTGCCGCTATTGAACTGCTGTTGTTTTGATGGGTTGGGTCCTACAAAAAAACCTTTCCAATTTCACCTTTCCTAAGTCGAGAGAAATTAGAGCTAAATGCAGCTGTTTTCAACACCTGGTACAAGTGAGACAGGCCTTGAGCTCCAAGCTGTTCGAAATCATGAGTCTTAGATTTATTATGCTAAAAAGAATTTACCTTTAATTTAACAAGAGGTAGTTGCAACGGCGTCATCAAGTAAACACTGGCTATACTGTTGAAACCAAATAAAGTTTTGACATCATATACTGTAACCAATCTTTGCTTGATAACATCGCTGAACCATTTCCTCCTGGCATCCTGAAGGCCGCCATCCAAGCTCACAACGTTTTAAACAGCACATTCAATTTTGTCAATTTTGCGTCGTTAACCGTCGATAATAGCACTTTGGACTTGATGTGAACACCTCAGTGGAGCTCTTCACCTTACAATGAGCCCATGATAATGCCAGCATGTGGCAGAATTTTTTGAGACACAAAGAGGACGTCCTTGGCAAAACTACAATTGGCGATCAGTTAGGAGACCATGACGCATATATCTGTACATGTGACTAAACAATCGTTCGATAATACCTATCCCTTGCAGGAGGGAAACGGAATAATCTGCGTTTTAATTCATAGGTATAACAGTGCTAGAAGTAAAGTGCAATTACATCTGAACTAGTGGAGTATTGCTTCACGGCCTCTCTCGTGATTTCATTATTTATGTAAAACACTCAGATAAATGAGGCAGCCCCTCATGGCAAGCGGCGAGGTTTTCATAGCTCCAAGTGATCTCATCAAGTCGACCAAGCCGCAGCGGTGGCGAAGCCTCTTAAGAGTCGGACAGAAACAGAGCCACTTGTCAGAAGTCGCTTCCCATGCAATACGGTAGGCTTGGATTCAATCGAGACAAAAGCCTGGAGAGCTACCCCCCTCTCCGTCCCTGATCCGCCGCCCCTGCTAACCCGACTGACCGCGAAGAGCGGCGGCTGCCAGGGGTCAGGTCGAGGTCAAGGTCATCGGACCGGTGTCGGCCGCAGCCGGAGCTGGTGCGCAGACGGCCGGGTCCTGCCAGGTCCAGGTCTAGCACCCGCGGCGCCGGCTCCGCCGTGCGCATGGACGCCCGCTCCTGGGACGACGATCGGGAGGTCCTGCCGACGGGAACAGCGGAGCGTCATCGTCGCCATCCTGTGGGGTGAAGGGGTGGAAGGCCTGGCCTTGGTGCAAACGCCTCCCAGCGTTTTGATAATGCGATCATACTTGTGGTCTTGAGTGGAGAGAGGTGGGAATTGGAGGCATTGTCTTTTAATAAGCTCTTACGTTCGTGTACAAGCGTTTCACCACTCCCTCCCCCTCTCTCCCTCTCATTCTCTTTTTCTCTCTTTCTCCCTTTCTCTGTTGCCCTCACTTTTTCTCTTCCTCGACCCCTTTCATTTCACTCCTCCTTTTAATTATTCCTTTCGCCCAGACCCTAGCCTTGTTTACCATCTATGTCTTGTTGTTGCACACGGCCTACTTGTCCTCACCTCTCACACTTGACCATCGAGTCGAACCATTTTGGCACATTGTTCATGCTGCTGGAGCTGGAGACCGTCTGCCTCTCATCGGAGAACACCTGGTGAGCACAAGCTGGGTCAGTGTGGAGACAGCGTGGGGAAACCATCTGCACTCCACCATCTTTTTCTGTTCTGTGACGTTTGACGAACATTGAGGTGTTGTGTGCATGACGGTGGTACTTGTTATGCGCGAACATCCACATCAGACAAGTCTCTGAAATGAAGGCAATGTTAAATCACCGCCCATCCCGGCTGCCTTTAAGTCGTTTGAGCATGCTTTCTTTGAACCGTTGATATCTTCACATCTTAAGATCTGTAACGTTTGATAGCTGCTGTTCCTATTGATTGAGCTCTGCACTGTGAACAGGTCGTGCTAACCACCTGACGATCGGTGAACCCGAGACGGGTTCAAAGCCGGTTGTGCGAATAAACATAGCCACTTTGCATCCCGTCTTTACTGAGCACTAAAAATTTTAGACACGCTTTTACTCAGCAGCAGGGCACCTTCCGCCAGCCACGGGAGCTCCATGTTCGTGCACTGACCTGGAGGCTGTCCATCTCCGACGTCATGGCCTGGACGGGCGTGGTGCCGTTCCAGCTGGACCTGGGCCGCGCCTCTAGGCTGTCGGCCCTTGCCCAGGACGCTGGCTGCCGGAGAGACGGTACTGTAGATGGGGGCGGGGATCAGGAGGCCCCGACAGGCCCCGACGGTACCCTCCGAGGTGCGTCCACAGCGGCGACAGTCTGGGGAGGGGGCTTACCCTTTTCGTTGTCATTGTCCGGATCCAATCGAATCTAATCGCCAGAATGAAGCAAATCCTACCGGCATTTTACAGCCACGATAATTGCTCGTAAAATGCTGTATAGACTTTTATCCATTTCAGCCGGGTCAAGTAATGTTCACGCTCTGCGCTGGTACCGAGTGCCACCTCGTAACGCCCATTCCCTAGAACGCAGGGCGGCAAATTATGCAAAAATATGCGTTAGTCATTTCACTATCAATTGTAAAGGCATGTGTCGAACACTCGTTGCACCAAGTGCGTTTATAAATGCCACGCCATTGCGGTAAACTGTTGCTTTGGTATGATTCTTCGTCAACAGAAATCTAGGTTCCGTCCGAAAAAGCTCCACTTTTACAAAAAGAGCAAAAGCCGCCAACGTCTTAAAACATGTTCCATTGAATGTCACGCTCACGTTTGTCATTTCAGGCATCGGAATCCCAGAAATTGCAGCTCTCAGCTAAGTGCCTAAGTGTTTGGTCAGTGTGTGGGGAACACTTATGGCATAACTGAGTCACATGTCCAAAACCTGCAATGCATATGATGGGCTACACGCTCCATCCACAAGAGGCAAACAGTCACGAACACAATTTCATTTCACTGACAGCTGACCAATCATTGGTCCAGCAAGCCAACCTCGGAGGCTTGAATTCAACAGCGAACCTGGCGTCAAAATCGATGTGTGGAGCGGACGTGTTTTCGCGGATGGTGCGCTCCAACCCGGCTATTTCTGCTCGCCAGCGCCATTTTGAAAACATGAGTGCTGGTGTGAATGCGTGTTTTCGAAATGCGAGTTTTCGAAAACAGGGCGGTGCGGCGGTGCGCGCCGAGTACGTTTGTTGGAGTGGCAGTTGCGTGCCTCTGATATGTGATGATCCATATTCCAAATCCGTGTTTTGAATGCATAAATTTTCGCCGGTGCCTGCTCATATACAGCAACATTCTGCTTTTAGTTGTTCTTAAGATGCGGACGAGTGCTACACAAACGATGTCCCTTTTCAGCCCACATACAAGAGAAATAGTGACAAACACGGTCGCTGTTTTTTGTTTTTGTTGTTTTTTTTATCAACTTAGCGCTGTGCGCAGCAGCTTATCAGCTATTCCGCCCTTCGTAAGTGGGAACTGCACGCTTTTTCGGCGTTCTAAGTGTCTTATTTTGAAACGTAAGTATTTTGTTGCTCCAACTAGCTCATGTAATATATGCTTCAAAGCCCGTCGTGCAAAGAGATATCCTCAAAGCGTTTTTCTGAAGTAAGACGGAGGGGGGGGGGGGGATTCAAACGCTGTGTCCGATCCCAGATAGGCATTTACCTAAGCTACCCCAAATGTGGATTTCCCACGCCGTGAGAGTTTGTCTTCTAACTTAACTTCTCTCCTGTGAAGGTGTTTTCTCCTAACTTAAGCTGTCAGAAAATTGTTAAAAATGTATGATATAATAAGCTATGTCAATTATGTCCGATCCCAGACATGCATCCACCTAAGCTACCCCAAACGCGGACTTCCCGCACAGTGGCGGTGTGTGGCCTAACCCAACTTTTCTCATGTTAGGGTACGTTATCAAAACTTAGCTTGACATGGTAAGAAAAAAATAGTTTTTTCTGATGCACTCGGTTATCAGTATCACACACGCGCCATCTTGCTACGACAGAAATGCTGCGCCGCAATCGTTAGACTATCCCGCGACATTGCACGGACGTGACGGTGCGGCACAGAACTATCATCAAACGCTTGAAAAAACAGAATTGGATTATTTTGCCCTGACACGATGGCGGTGACTGACGCTTTTTCCGATGCATGGATGCCGGACTAAAGCCTGCAAGGTTAGATAAGTCCCTATTGCCTTCAGCATCGATCAGTGCGCATCAAGAACGCGTGTGTATATCGTTACGCCTCGCAAAAATGACACTAATAGATTCATCCGATCCCATAAATGTCACCAGAAATCATGCCGGTTGCGCTGCAGGGCACAAGTCATTGCCGGCGTGTCAACACTCGCCAATGTGTGGGCGCATTAGCGGCGCGGGGTAAGGGTGCTGTTGACAATACTTCACTCGCGCTTGGGGCCGTCGCGGCTGTTCCAATGTGTGCATTCACCGGCCGCCAACCACCGCCCTGACAAGCGAAGGCGAACGAGGAAAAAGCCTGTCTCGGTGGAGTTGGCATAGCTAAAATGAATGCAGGTGTACGGAACATTAAGAAGACATTTGGGGTATCATCCGAAGGTAAATGGGTGATATTTTACGCCAAGTACTACGCGCACATCCGCAAGTATGCAATCAGTGTGAATGGATACACGGTCCTTTGAGCGAAGCCGAATGCTTGGCCTCATGCTCACGCCAAAGGCCACTTACCTCTCCGTTCTTGCTCTCGTCTCTGTCCATCGCCTGCTCCTGTTTTCCACAGGCCCCAGCCGGACGTCACTCTCTCCGAACTCCTGATCGGGGTGCACCATCCGAGTCGGCGCCGAGCAGGAGTAGGGGCACAGTTCAGCACTCAGCCGCTGCAGTGTGGTCGCGGACTCTCGATGGACACTGAATCCGGGTCATTGCCTTCCTGTCCGTTGATGGTGGTTGGTCCGCACGCTGGTCCCGGACGACCTGGGAGGAGGCCGGATCGTTCCGGACCTCACTCACCGCACGACGTGGTTCTAAGCGGAGAAAGATGCAGCGGCAAGCGCTTCTCCACCTGCCGTGTCTGAAGCTCGCCGCTCCCTGCCGGACTCAGCACGCTCCTGTTCACCCGGACGTGGCGTCGCTGTCTCCCCGGCGCGTGCGGGAAGTCCGGCGGCTCTGCCAACGTGCCGGTCCGAGCCCAGCCGCGTCCCCAGACCTCGGCGGTTCCCCTCTTCTAGAGGCCAGCTGACGGCCGGTCGGGCGCGGGAAGTCCAGCCGCGTCCCCAGAACGCGTCGGCTCCCCTCTTCTAGAGGCCAGCTGACGGCCGGTCGGGCGCGGGAAGTCCAGCCGCGTCCCCAGAACGCGTCGGTTCCCCTCTTCTAGAGGCCAGCTGACGGCCGGTCGGGCGCGGGAAGTCCAGCCGCGTCCCCAGAACGCGTCGGTTCCCCTCTTCTAGAGGCCAGCTGACGGCCGGTCGGGCGCGGGAAGTCCAGCCGCGTCCCCAGAACGCGTCGGTTCCCCTCTTCTAGAGGCCAGCTGACGGCCGGTCGGGCGCGGGAAGTCCAGCCGCGTCCCCAGAACGCGTCGGCTCCCCTCTTCTAGAGGCCAGCTGACGGCCGGTCGGGCGCGGGAAGTCCAGCCGCGTCCCCAGAACGCGTCGGCTCCCCTCTTCTAGAGGCCAGCTGACGGCCGGTCGGGCGCGGGAAGTCCAGCCGCGTCCCCAGAACGCGTCGGCTCCCCTCTTCTAGAGGCCAGCTGACGGCCGGTCGGGCGCGGGAAGTCCAGCCGCGTCCCCAGAACGCGTCGGCTCCCCTCTTCTAGAGGCCAGCTGACGGCCGGTCGGGCGCGGGAAGTCCAGCCGCGTCCCCAGAACGCGTCGGCTCCCCTCTTCTAGAGGCCAGCTGACGGCCGGTCGGGCGCGGGAAGTCCAGCCGCGTCCCCAGAACGCGTCGGTTCCCCTCTTCTAGAGGTCAGCTGACGGCCGACCGGGGCGCTAGCACAGGGCCGCCGTCCTCAGATGTGACCGGGTGTTGGCGCGCTTCGCCATCCAGTCC